AAGAATTTTGCTGTTTTTTTTTCTAAAAATCATTTTTTTTTTGTTATTTCATGTACGTTTGTCTGTAGAATAACTTGACGTCCAAAAATGTTGAAAATGAATATTACTTTTTTTCCTTGTTTGAAACCAGCATTATTTTGTCATTTACATTACTTACTTAGAATTGAAATTTAGCATTGTATAATTGCATGATATCTTGTAGAAGCATTGATTTTTATCTTTATTTTTCATACTATAATGGCATTGACAATTTACATGTGATATATGACTCAAACTTGATATAGTCATTTACGTTACCTAAATTAGTCATTTACGTTACCACAAAAACTTTTCACATTGACGTTTTATATGAGTTTTTTTTTCAAAACCTCGACTGGTGTACTAAAAGACAACATCTCTAGATGTCTTATCAGTTACAAATGTAAATAAAATGCTGTTGTGTTTAGTATAACAGAGAAAACAAAAATGTGTGTACCATTAATTTGCAAAATTCTTCAATGGCTGCTGAACTTATTAAAGCACATTTCATATGATGTTGACCGCTTTGTGATATAGCTTATAGTTAATTTTCAAGAAACCTATTTCAGGGATACAATTATAAATGAAAGATGAATAAAATTCAAACAACCACCCCGTCTGCATATATTCAATCAGCTTTATAACTCAAAATCCCTAAACATTTGGGTAAGGAGTTGTCATTAGCTTTGAGACTGTAACTTTTTCCTGATTTGAGATACTGATGACATTTTTTCGGAAAATATTCTATGCAACATCTCATTTGAAACTAAGAAAAGTCATTTTTTACCAATTTTGAAATTCACCGGCTCTCGTTGTCTGAGAATGACTGTAGGGACGTCATATACCCTAAAAGGGACCACAAAACTCAGTTGGTGGGAATTCTCGTCATTATCACCCTAAGCCCAAAATACCGATTTCAAACCCTAAAAGGAACGCCGAGGACCCCCGCCCTTTGATATTAGGGAGTCCCCCCCCCCCCCCCCCGGGACTACAGTACTATATGCTACAGTACTACAATTTTAATATACAGTACTAGATACAAAACTAAGGACAAACTAATGAGGGCAAAGTACAGTAGCAGCTAGAAAGAACAAAATACAATTACTTAATTGTATACTTGACTAACTGAGAACAGTTTATGTGCTTGAGTGACTACTATTTTGCAATAATTGAAATTCAAAAGCACTTACTTCTAGCTAATTTACTAATACAAAATGCTCTACTTAAACGATTATAACTTGAACGATGAACAACAATAAATGATTTGCCTTCAAACAAACGCTTTGACTAGAAATATACTTATAACTATGTGAAATAAATCAAGGTCAAAGGACTCGTAAACAACTAATTTAACTCTAGCGCCGTTGACTAATTATCTAAACAAAGATGCTGTGCCGTTCGCGAGCGACTGTTAGTGAGCTGTTGTGCTTAAAAACCTGTCGCGGCAAACTGGATACTGACGGGAATATAATGCTGGCCAACAACAATTATCACGGAGAACCAAATGTGACGGTTTTCGGTGCTATAATTATTGAACGTAAACTGCAATACAATACAATGATATTCATGTAATCTAAACACAAGTCACTTAACATGTACATTCCGATCATAGTTTTGGAGATAAAAAAGTTTTAGCAATCATGAGTATAAATGCATGGTAAAAACGTAACATAGGAAAATGTATTACTAACAGTATTAATGGCAAAGATATAAATGATTATATAAACATACAAAGCATTGCACAAAATGTAAAAAGGGAAACTTAAAGGCAGAAAGTACTGAAATATATCGCAAAAGGTATAAACTCTTTTAAAATGAGGACAATATACATTGAATCATATGAACAAAGCAATAATATAAGAAGAGATATATGCGTCAAGTAACCTTGTAACCAACTACTGGGCGTAGTACAAACTAAACTTGTACAAACTAAGCGAAATAGCAATAACTAATGTATACAATATAACAGAAGTACTTCCATATTGGTGCCCGCTTGCTCTAATAGCCAAGAAAATAGATATAGATGACAACACTAAAACTTATGCTCTTGCTTGTACTATCACTAAAAGACTGATTGGTATAAATCCGCATGACCACCTTGAAAAGCTACTATAATTACTAAGTACATAGAAACAACGAATCAAAGGACTACAACTAATCAAACATGTAAAATATCTTACCACAAGATTGACAATCATGAGCCCTAGACTTGTGAACACGGAAGGACTAAAATAATGCTTAGAGTTCTAGACCATGCGGTATGCTTTGATTGACAGTTGTCAAATCGAATTTTCTGATTGGCTAATACTAAGTAATATGTAATATACAAAAGTTATGTGTAAAGCTTGAACTTGGCTACAGCCTGCTTAAGGATTGTCGACCTCGACAATAATGCAGGGTCGTGACATGGTATATTTTTTTGCTCGTGATCCCGGTTTTTGTCCAAATTTGATCCCTGATGCCACGATATTTAAGTGATCCCGTATGTTTATATGCATATCTAATTCTACAATTTACGCTCTTTGGTTAATTTTCAGAAACATACCCTCTCACTTTCCATCCGACATACAGGTACAAGGTACTTCTACGTGCCGCTGGCCAGGGTATGGTTTTTGGCCTTGCTGTCTTAAACAGGGTATACATTTCACCCGAAATTGTCTTAAACAGGCTCTACAATTTAGATAAAAGAGACCGATATAATTTTTTTGTGTGTCTTGGACAGGGTAATATTTTCATAACACCGTAGAAATACCGTTTCACTGTCCCAGAATTAACGTGTTATCAAAAACTTCTTATTGTCTTTGATGGATGTCAGTATAATTGCATTTTTGATGGTTGCGGCGTAGATAGCTATTCCTTATTTTTCCCATATCAAACAATTGCCTCAGAGAATCATTCATTCGTTTGCCAAACTTTTGCTTACTATATATGGTAATCTTACCTTATAAGGAAGTACGATAGAAAGTTTTTTCCAAGTTTTTTCCACGTTTTAGTGCTTTAAAATGGCTAAAACTTACAGAATTTGCAGAGAAATCGCTTTTCAACATGTCGGCCATTATAATTTTGTCCTAGTCCCCTCCCATCCTTGAAAATAAGGAATCCCACAAAAGACACAGGTAGCCCTCGCGAATGTTGGCAATTGTTTGATATGGATTTGTCTTGAACAGGGTATGGATTTTTACTTTTTAGTGTCTTAAACAGGGTCAAGGATTTAGACCGCTGGCGGTACGTACCTATCCAAAACGGGGTCGAGTCCCCCCCCCCCCGGAATCAGGTGCGTAGCGTGCACGTCACCTGGGACGTCTTAGCTATAGTAGGTACATGTCATCAGGGACCGCGACACATATTTGGTCGGAGGGCTAACGACTGAAGGTGGGAGTTTCAAGCGGGGTCTGGGTCCTCCCCCAGGAAATTTTGAAATAATAATTCTTGGAAATTTCTCGATTTCGAGTGTTTTTTTACCAATTAATCTGTTGATTTCAGAAGTCGTTTCAGGAGATATCGTGTCAATATGGCTCATAGATACAGCATTAATTCTATTACGATGATTTCAAGGATTATTCCAGTATTATCAGTATTTAATGCTCATCGATTCATATAAACTTTATCCTTCGTAAAAAATCGATGCATGGACAACACTACAACAAGTAAGAACGCAAAATATAAATTTTAACGGTCAGCATTCAAAGTGAAAGTATCAYCACTTCAAACTATGAAATTGTGATGGTGTTGATAATTCATTGTCGATATCGTTAAGGTGTTACGGATGCATATAAATCATTAAATTCAAAATGTCAAGTTCAATATTGTTATTTTATAGATTTTTTATCGAAATTAGACCACATCTAAACAAAATCTGAGGCTTCATACTTTTATGTCCACGGTATACTTGTCTAACAATCTTCGAGTTGTGTCGCCATTGGCGGCTTGATTGACTTTCAGTAGGAACAAAGCGTGTGTAATACACATCAACTACAACAAGAATCGCCAATTTTAGGGCTTTTTTGCTAGGGTCTTCGTTTTGGACAAACTTGTTATTCGTTTTCTGATACTTAAATAAACCCTTTAATTGGATACAAATATTGAATAGTGTTGCGTATTGATAATTTTATATTAAGAGAATCGATTTCTACCTTTATGCGTGACACTAAAGGTCGCGACAACTCAGTCACACGTCTGTTTGTACGACTGGGGTTGTTGTCAGGTTTTGGTTGTAATTTGTCGTTTTTTCAATCGCTATATCTCCAAGAATATAAAAAGTCCCAGACAAATTATTGTATCTTTTTAAAGAACAACCTTTCCTCTACTCAAATTCAAAATATCAAGAAAATCGCAAATATACCGGGCAGGAATAATTGATATTCAAAAAGTCTGATAAGAAGTTTGTCCACATTTGGACTGATTTTTATGGTTTTAAAAAATGAGCTTGCGAAGTCAAAATTTACATCCAGATGTTTATTATTATCTGTCATTTGCGATTATGAAGTCGATTGTTGTTTTCATTTTCTTTGAATGGATCAAATAAGAGGTTTCATGATCACGCCATGTTTCATAATCACGCCATGTTTCATAATCACGCGATGTTTTTGTCGGTTTCAGCCATTTCTAGTCTGAGTCAGGTTTTTCTAAATTTCTCGCGTTTAAAATAACATTTTCGAAAACAAACCCCGCCATGATTCTTAGTATGTAATAGGGTCTCAATGGTTAAATATGAAGGATTTTGTTTTTTTCATCATGTGCCACGTATTCTCGATTTTGCTCGGTTTTAGTGAACATTCGCTCTTGAGCCGTGATAATCCCATGCATTCTTCGATCGCTCGTATTTCTGTTAAAAAGCATTATTTTGGCTTAAACGTTTGTAATGTTCCTTTAATTTAGATGTTCTCTTGAGGACAACAAAAACACTTCGCCAATTGGCCTCTAAAAGCTTTTTTTAGAATATCACACGATCATTGCAAAGCAAGAATAAAAAGGTTACTTACATATCTATCTCACTTGTACCAATAACACAGACACTCCTTATTGCTAAAATCTTCTTTACAACTAAGCAAAAGGACGTTACAGCAGAACGTTACAGCAGAAACCGTTGCATCGCGACTTCAATGTTCAAAGCCTAAATAGAATAGGCTACCCAAAGAGAAAGAAAAGATCACAGGCTTACCAGTCTCTGAGGAGTTACGGGAGATGGGCTACCTGTGGCGACAAACTTAACGGATTTTCACTCTGGAGAAGGTCGAAATCTAACCCTCCCAAAACACACTAAAACAGCATCAAAATCGAAAATAACCCCTCCAAAAATGTTCATAAACTATTGAACCATCTTTATTGAAGTTTTTTGATATTTCAAGAATGAAAAGATACGGTTTAGAAACGATATTTTGACTACATGTGAAAATCCGTNATCTTTTCATTCTTGAAATATCAAAAAACTTCAATAAAGATGGTTCAATAGTTTATGAACATTTTTGGAGGGGTTATTTTCGATTTTGATGCTGTTTTAGTGTGTTTTGGGAGGGTTAGATTTCGACCTTCTCCAGAGTGAAAATCCGTTAAGTTTGTCGCCACAGGTAGCCCATCTCCCGTAACTCCTCAGACACTGGTAAGCCTGTGAAAAGATCGAATGCGCACGCTTCAATCTCGTACCCAGAGCCCCCACTATTGCCATCCAGCGGAAGTCAATGCGTGAGAGACTCTTTCAAGTCGCCAGCGTGCGCTCGCCTCATTAGTCAAGAAAATCATCCTTTTTTCGCATAACCACACATGTTTTCACACATTTTTGTTTTTAAAWAGGTGTAAATATCGTTTCTAAACTAAGTTGTTTGCTAAACCTTCTTCATTTTTGTAATTTTAAGAATGCTCTAAACACAGAAAACAAATTTGACCTAATTTGCATTTTTTTGCGACGGAAAAGTAGTATATTATCTATGTGTTTTCCTATGTCTACCTGTGTTGTACATTTACTTATATACTTGTACAGCAAGTAGTAACTATACTGGACGAGTCAATCACGCAGGATAACGACTTAAAGTTTCATGTTATTAAACAATCATAAGGCTATGAACAATGTTCGAGATATGATGCTTACATATACATTTGAGTAAAGAATTTCTCTATGGGATTAGCTATTTTATGAGATTTTCAAGGTCTTTCGAAATCGAAATAAGAAACATTTCAAAGGAAGCGAGGCTGTTATGATGAACCATCCCGTGGTGCCATAGGCTACCCAACCATTGCTTGAGAGAAACAAAAGAATGAATGCGCACGCTTATATTATGTTATCGAATCGGCGCGCGCTGCGGGTTACCTGTGGTATTACGTCATTGATCTCTTGCCTCGCGGCCTCGCGTTCCTCGCGGGATAGAGCGGATTTCGTATGACTGTGCAAAAGCACGGATCACAACACGGACACGGCACTGCACGGTCACGGAACCTCGCCTTCTAGGATTTCATGAATGAAAGTAAAGATTTTCCAATGCATCACAGGACTCACAGCTACGGCACGGTACGAACACAGCACGAACGTACCGTGTTTTTTTGCACAGTCATACGAAATCCGCTCTACAAAGCATGCTCGATAACATAATATAAGCGCATTCATTCTTTTGTTTCTCTCAAGCAATGGTTGGGTAGCCTATGGTGGTGCGTGTTAAAATGTTCTCGCCAAACCGAGGGTGTTGCGCCGATTGGCGGTGGAGTAGGGGCCACGGCTTGCAGGATTCACCGAAAGAGATCAAAAATCGATCTAAATCAATCTCAATCTCCGTTGAATGTTTTTCTTTGACATTGAGATTTACACAGGGTTGGAATAACGGTTGGTGGTGGGCTATGGCGGGGTCTTTTGGTTCAATTTGGACGAAAAAGATGCAATTTTTGATGAAAAAGTGATCTGATGATTGGACTTTTTCGAGCCGGTCTGTCCTGCCTTTCAGTGATATAAGTAAAGAGGGGGAGATATCAAAGAAAAATGGCAAATTACGCATCGAAAGGTAAGACAAAAGTTTTTTACTAATTTTTTCTTTAAAAACGTTCATATTTACATGCATTATAGATATCGCTAAATCTGCTAGTCAAATGCTTAGCTTGGGTTGCCTGTGGCTCATCTCCCCGCCGAACGCCATCTTTATCACAGGCAGCCCAAGCTAAGCATTTAGCTAGCAGATTATAGCGATATCAGTGATATAAGTAAAGGAGGGGAGATATCAAAGAAAAACGGCAAATTACGCCTAAATTCATAACTAAGACCACATCATAAGGTARGWMAAATGTYTTTTACTTATTTTTTCTTTCAAAAATTTCGTATTTACATGCATTATAGATATCGCTATAATCTGTTAGTCAAATGCTTAGCTTGGGCTACCTGTGCCTTTATCGCCTTTCCGCATGGACCGTCATGGAATACGGTCCCGCGCGCGATAACGAGGTCGGGTGACAATATGTAAACATAAAGAAACAAAAAGAACTGTTGGCGGGCGGGGACTGATTTCCGACATGATTTCTAACTTAAAATGTCTCAGAGACGTCCTAAAACTATCAGGAAAAGAACTTTCGTCCGTCTGTAAGTCACTAGGAGTGCAGCTCAGGGGTAACCGGAACTTGACAGTAACAGAAGTATGTGAAAAGTTGTCGTTGTGTACCACCAGTTCGTCGGGTCACGATAACAAAGAAAACACACCGCTATGGATTGACGAAGCCCGAAAATGTGTCAAAAGTGATAATGGTTGGACGAGGGATATACGAAAGATGCCAACAATAAGTTTGTATGATGTTACTAACTATCTTTTAGAATATCCTGCACATAAGGAGAAAAATTTTGAAGCTTACGGAAAAGAAACCTTTCTACGCTACAAGACATTGCGTAGTCATCGTATCTGGAAAGAGGATCATATCAACTCGAGGAGTCGGCCGAGATGGCCCTGGGGACGAGTTGAGGCTTGGCGTAAAACAATCTCGAGTCTTCACGGCTAATGTCAGCGGTATGCTGACGCCGGAAAGACTCTGGAGGAATCGACTGGATTTGCGACGCTTTTCCGTCGCAAATTATGCAAATTAGGTCAGTTTTGTTTTTGCCGCTTTAGAACATCAAAATGATAAAAAAAAGAAGGAGGTTTAGCTTACAACTTAGTTAAGAAAAGGTATTTACACCTTTTTAAAAACAAATGCGCGCTCGAGTCATTTTCAGCCAATCACGAATCGAGAAATAACGCATTCCCCCAGAGTCTCTCACGTATTGACATCCGCTGGATGGCAAAAGTGCGGGCTCTGGGTACGAGATTGGGCGTAAAAACAAATCGATTATTTTAACGGAAACGTCACGCCGCTTCACGGCTCGATAACATACCGGTAGTAAAGGAAAAGAAGACAAGCCTCTGTAACCAAGGTAGTGAGTCACATGTTGTGAGCGCCCATTGAGCTAAGATCACACAATCATAAAATTTTCAGATACTCTATAAGCGGAAAAAAGGTTAGTATCTGCACAACCAAATGGTCAGGTGAATCGATAATAAGCTTATACCAAATGTAAAGTTTTATAACTCGCGTCGGCATTCTATGTCGAGCGCGGCAGCTTGTCACGGTTTTAAATAGACTAAACTTGCAAGGAAAACCTCAACTACAAAATTTTGCCAAGATTTCGATTCAGCCGCTGATGATTTATTAAGGTTAAGTTGTCATAGAATTATCAAGCGCTTCTTGACGCTTTACATCTGGCACAAGGCACTATAAACTTACTTAACTCGGCGTTAAGTTAACTTATATATTTTATTTTGGGCATAAGCTTAGTTTTAATAGAAAGAGAACTATGAGAAGGTTTATTATTTTTACTAGTTTGAAAATTTCGGCCTTTATATATCCAAAGACCATCGACATCGACTACGAACTCATATGTCAGTTGTTTGAGAACGAGACATATTCATACCGGCCATACCGGCGGTCGGTAGTGCACTGTCGTTTGTGCGAAGCCGCGTTTGCAATTAATGGCGAAGGAAGACAAAGCGTCCATATTCAATTTGCTGTTGCTGTTCAAGTTTAGCGTCAGTGTTTCTTGTTTATCATGGTCTCTTTTCTTGTTTTTGCACAAGTCGTTCAATAGATTGGCGGAAAGATGCGCATGAGTGCTTTGCAAAATCTCTTTTTTTTTTACGCTTTCTTGAGCATTGTCAGTTTCATTGAACGCATATTTTTTTCATTGAGGGTGTCTTTTGAATGAAAAAATGTGCGTGTTACACGCTTTTCTGTAAACACAAATCGATAGTCTTTCATGTTCTTAGTAATACGATGAAACGAGGGAAATTAGTGATTAAATTTCCCCGAATCCGAGGGAAAATTTGTGTCCCGAGGGCGCAGCCCGTAATATTATGATCGGCGAGGAAGTAAGGGAAATAGAGGGAAATATCTTTTGATATCGTGTCCAGTTTTCTAATCAAGGAAGCGTAAACAACGGCAACATGCATAACTAAAAAAAAATGCATTACTAGCTCATTAGCGTGTTGTACACCTAGGCTTGATAATGATGTAATCTAACAATAGTTTTCAAATACGTTACAGACGTTACTTTGTCTTCTATTGTGTAATTAAACATTTCAACATTGGTTCGTTAGTACTATTTCATATACTTGATTTGGATGTTTGAAAACAACCTAATTTGTAGTCCCTTAGCGTACCAAATATAATATTCATATCGCAGAATTAAAAATCGTATACAACGCTCAAACAACATGGCTGGAAGATTTTCGTTTAGAATAGACAACGAAGTTCAATTAAGAGTGATTATATCAGTTTGCTGTTAGTATTAAACGCTATTTCTTTTAATGCTTTATTTCGAGTTGGCAAAAGTGTTAGTGCTACAAATGATTTTATTTTATTTCTAGCTATTTATTTTAGCCCTTGATTTAACAATTGACAAAACTTTTTTCTTTCAAGATCAATTCTCTTGCTTTTAAATTGGGTCAAAAAAGGTGTTTTCAAGATGGTCTATAGAAAATTCTTAAAGAAATGGTGGATTATGATAGCAGTATTTTCCTTGCTCACTTCATCGTTCTACATCTATGAATATTCACAAATAAAGAATATAAGCTTGAAGACATTAATGGAAACTTCTCAGAATTTATCAACAGTATTAAGTCAACATCATCCTGGTTCAAAATCTGGCAAATGTCGACTTCCAGTACTTGATCCATGGCACTCAAGTGTGAAAAGTTTAGTAAAAGATCCTGGTAAACTTAAATGTGGAGTTAGTCAGTCGACRTTTGAGAATAATACACTGTWTGTGGATGCAAATAATGCAGTGTCTGTGAGTTATCGTATCATTCAACGTCCAGCTGGGGACGATTTTTCAAGGAGTCTCTCTGAACCCTTTTCGATATCCCAACAAACAACTAATACCAAACCAAGCCAAGTCATACCAGGTGGGTACTGTTCAATTAAAACTTGTTGGGAAAAGTAGTTTCATAATATTTCTTTTTTGTATTAAAATTGCTATGATTTCTCTAAGGTATATCTGGATGTTTAATCCACATCGAAAGCAAGAAATGTTTACATCCTAATGGTGGTGAACTCCAACCCAAAGAGGGTACACCATTAGTGTTCCATTCAGATTGTTGCTTTAGACGCATTGAGTTCAAAATGGCAGAAGATAAAAACATTGTCCATGTGCCCAGTGGACTTTGCATAAATGTGAAGGGTACTAAGAACAACATGGATAATACACCTTTTCAGTTGCTCTTAGGCCTCGGCAGCTTGTTAAATATCCTTTTGAATTTGTAGGAATGTGAGCAATGCAAACATTGATATGAATAAAGTCTCATTTGTCAAATTCAAAAGAATGATTAACTTGCTATTGAGGCCTAAGTGCAACTGAAAAGGTGCATTTTTTTGCTATACATGTATTTTTTTAGAATTGTAGCAAAAAGGTTACATGGTTATTGCTAGATAATGACTCTTACATTTAAGGAGTTATCTTGAATTTGAAAAAATGACCAATAGAAATATACCAAAGAATTCCCGGATGGGGTGTGTTAGTAATGATTTTTACTACCAACACAAAAACTCTGGAGTTTCCATCAAGTCATCTACCAATATGACAAGCCATCTATTAATAAGACATGTTTTGTTGGAAAAAAGAACTGTCTTCACCAAAGGAGGCCCAGGGTTCTCCCCCATCTACCACAGAAGACCCCATTTTAAATCCCTGGGTTTTTGATTATTAGGGAGGCTATATTATATTGCTTAGAAGCACGAATTATTACTTTCTTTCAACAGTAATTTTTTTAAAAACGGTTTTTGTTGTTTTTAGATGATAAAGTTATTCTTAATAAGGAATGCTCAACAAAGTTCACAGTTGACAATGGTACACTTCACGTGGCTGGGAAAGACCTGTGCTTAGGTAGTGTCGAACGATTACCTAAAAATGATGAAAATGTAATGATGGGAAGGTCTTGTTCACATGCCTTTGGTCTTGTAACTATGCAAGGTATCTGTAATTTGTGGTATTGTTTTATTTATTTATTTATTCATTTTTAATGTCGTTAGTTATTTTTCTCTCTTTTTCTCTGTTTTTCTTTCAAATTCGATGACATCCCAATGTAAAATGCATCGAGTCCACCTCCACACGAGTCCAGAGATTTACGGATATTTTTAATCCTGATACTAGTTTTTCTGTGCCCACACGTAGTGCATACGAATTCTGTGCACATATCGTATACAGAAATTCCCTCTCCGAGAAGGCACAAAGAAATTTCCAAGACTCTGCCTTGACACACTCTAGTTGTATTCGTGAATAAAGACTTGTCGCAAATTGTGGCACCCTTTTCTTGAGAATTAAAATTCTAGTTAATTTTAGACGTTGCCCCCCATCTTTAAGCACATAAAATTAGATGTCGCCCCCCCCTCTGGATTCTCAACCCCCACTCCTGATAAATATTGCGCAGTCCCTTATTGTCGAATAAATTCACTAAAACTCACCATTTTCGAGTAAGAACTTGACTTACTAGATATTTTTCACCTCCGTGTACATGTTACACTCCCAAACACACTCCAACAAGTGTGGTAGAGTTAAATATCTGAACCACATTAGCCTGTTAAACCCGTTCAGAACCGGTTGGCGCATCATTTGCGACTTGAGTTTCTTTTTTGATTCTATTGTTTCAAAGGTTCTTTGTCGGCCTCCACGCACGTTACAGCACATCAGAAATACTGACAATATTAATCATAGGTAAAGGAGTCAAAGCAAGTACACTTATCAATGCTGATTTTATTCGCGTCGACATCAAGCAAGGTGATGGAAAGCCTGACATTACAGAACTCCATATGCAAGCAGCCCCCAAACCAGACGCTCTTAAAAGAGTGCGAAAACCCACAGGGATCCCGATCAACATTGGTTTGATAATGTTTGACTCCACTTCAGCTGCGAATTTTATTCGTCAAATGACGAAAACAAATGAGTATCTGAAGACAAGGCCAACGATCTACATGAAAGGTATGCTTTTGTGATGTTCTCTACTTTATTATGTTTATTTATGTCGTTTTGGTGGATCATCCATTGATGTATGGATCTTTTCCCAGACATGTTTATACATTTATTTCATGAAAGCAAAACTTAATTTAAGGTGCGTTTGCTTGCTTACTTGCGTTATTTCTCGATTCGTGATTCGCTGAAAATGACGCGAGCGCGCATTATTTTCAAGTCTGTTTTTAACTCGAAGATTGCGAAGCGAGGGAGGATAAATCTGTCACTCACTCAGTCACTTACTTTCCCGAATACTGATTTCCTTTTTACAGGACAAACTATCGTTGGAGATGGTACTACAGCCCAGCTCTGCGCAATGCTTACTGGGATAGCTGAAAAAGACCAACCAGAAGCAAGGCGTTCCAAACCTAATTCTAAAGTAGTTGATGACTGGAGATGGGTGTTCCGAGACTATCGTAATCACGGCTATGTGACCATGTATAGCGAAGATTCTCCAAACTATGCTACCTTTAACTATCGTTTACATGGTTTTAAAAACCCTCCAACTGATCATTACGGCAGGTATTTCTGGATGGAAGGTGAACGTCACCGACACAATGCCCAGTGCGCTGGAAAAGACGCAATGCATCGCTTAACTTTCAAATATTTCTTAAGCTTCTTTCGTACGTACAAGAAAAAGTCCAAATTTGGCTTCTTAAATTTGTCCGAACTCACTCACAATGCCATTAATCCTATCAAGTTCGCGGACGAAGATCTTATGAAATTATTACAGACCATGGAAAAAGAGGACTTTCTAGAAGACACCATTCTCTTTATATTTGGAGATCATGGTACCAGATATGGAAAAATAAGACAAACTATTCAAGGGAAACTCGAAGAACGGCTTCCTCACATGTCCATTACTTTCCCAACATGGTTTCCAAAGAAACATCCAAAACTATACGAAGCCGTCCAGCACAATAGTCATCTTCTAACAACACCATTCGATATTTATGCTACATTACAACATGTTCTTTCTTATCCATCTGCTCCTAAAGGCATCCATGTTGGACAGAGTCTGTTTTATCCTATTGACGCGAAGAACCGTACATGTAGTAATGCCGGAGTTGAAGATCATTGGTGTCCGTGTTTGAATTTTGAAAGTGTTCCCATAAATGAACCCATTGTCAAACGACTTGCCATTTTCTCTGTTGAATCAATAAACAAACAACTTGAAAACGAGGGCAGCAAAGTGAAGTCACTTTGTCATAAACTAACTTTGAAAGAAATCCAAAGTGCTTCTCGTGAAATGCCAAACGAAGTTGTGCAAAAGTTCAAACAGACGAATCCCAATCAAAAGTGCGATTCTTGTGAAATAGTCCTTGGTGGGAGGGATGAAAATACTCTGGCTGAAGACACGGCGTATCAGATTCAATTCATAACATCACCTAACAATGGCTTTTACGAGTCAGGCATTCGAGTTGAAAAAGGAAAGCCAAGCTTGATTGGATTGATCAGTCGGATTGACTCGTATGGGAATCAACCCGATTGTATTGCTCACGATTTTCCAAATTTACGAAAATACTGCAAATGTAAATAAGAAACTGACTATTTAATATAATAGATAGAAATAAATATTAATTTAATATAACAAATTAAAATAATCTTTAATATAATAAAGTTTAATTTATTATATTACTTAGCTCGCGGAAACTGGCTTTAGGTTTTTTTAGTTAACTCATTCAAAGTGTTTCTACGGAAAACTATAAACCAGCAAGTGTCTTCTTAAACTGATTCCATAAGCCATAATATTCGCTCCTCGAGTTTTCGGTTTGTCGCTCAAATCGGTGAGTGACGGAGAGGGAACTGGTACCGACTTATGGAATCAGTCTAATTCTTCTACTTTAGGATAGACTCCTTTGCAGATGTTATTAGTATCGGTCATAACGTCTGCAAAGGAGGCTAGTTTTACCAATGTTCGTGTATTCATTATTATTTAAGTATAAATTTTGTATGCCAAACGCAAGATTTCATTTTCAATAAACCTAAATCGGAATAAAATGAAGTAAAACGTCATGTGTGTAGGAGCTGGTGGGAGAGATTCTTGTACTGTATTTTTAACATACCATAAAGTATAAAATATATTTAAAAATATTTATAAGCGTCCACGTTCATCGTTTTATATTGTTGCACAATATTATGGTAAAAAGAATCTCTTTAATTAAGCTTACAGTTGAATCGTTTTAATTTAAAGCATTAGTTTCATTGCAATAATAGGCGATTTGCGAATTTTGCCTTAGTAGTCATACTAAGAAATATAGACGAGGAGGCGTCCATAAAGCTCAGTCATTCCTGAAACCACAATAGTTTGTTACAATTGACTTAGCTTTAGACACGGTGCCTCGTCTTGATTTTTTTGTGTTTGACTGCTGGCGCGAAATTCGCAAATTGGCTTATTTAAGAGATATGTTATTTTTACCGTTCCGCATTGTCATGCAAACAATTTGAGAATGTTAGCCTCTTCGATGATGACATAATCGGCTATCTATAATTGAGCAAGACCCCGTTCACACGAGTCCTTAGATTTTGTATCCACATGATCCGTTTTTATTGAGATACAGCCGATGTCCACAGTGTACGTAAGTATGGTATCTCTGCATTGTCTGCGGGGATTATAGGGAAAAAACGGAAGCAAAAATCTCTGGAATCGCTTGAGCCCTAAGTTGCTTATTTTGTGTCTAAGGCTCATTTGTTTTCGAGTCAGTCCAATTAACCAATACCGTAAAGTAGTGGGGTGATCTTCTGGAAAGTGATGAGTAGGGGCAGATATTGCCGCCATTCAAGGTTGTCGGACATCGGACAGTCCGGTGGACCAACGGACACACCCTGGATATCCGGCGCTGCTGCTGTCTCGACCACATTTCAATGCTTAGACGAGATAGTAACGAGGGGAAATAACTGCTTTTTTTTATTTTGTAATATTTTACAAACGTTAATTACATTATAATAGTATATGGAATTGACGCGGTAAAGAGTGACCACATTTATCATCTCCGAATGTTTTTTAAACCCTTGTTTTTACTATTTTAATAAGCAATCATAGTGATAAGTTGATTAAAAAAGAAGAGACAAAGGAATGAAGTCAAGTATGCTGAATATTGGGCATAAACACAAGCACAGCAATAATGAGCATAAGAACATACATAAGCTCAGTAATGAAAGACAAAAGTGAGAACACGCAAATAAAAGAAACTTGCTTTTAATTGTCACCCCCTCCACTGAGGGCCTGATTATTTAAAATGGGCTAGCCCGTTTAACAGGGCTGATTTCTTTTTGTTTTGTGTGCCCTTGGGAAACGAAAACAATAGAAAGCAGCTCCATATAAGGAAGTCCTAGTTATGCTTGCTCATAGCTAAGTGAGAACCAGGCTTAAGTGCGAGTTTGTGTCATCGTTTAAATTAGCTATTATGTATATATTAAAGACATTTTTTTGAGCCCAAAACGTCGATCTTTTTATATACACTGAGGCAAAATAACCACAAGAACATCGTGGCTTAGAACTTGGGTCATATCCTCTTTTGGTATCCACCAAACTATGGGCTATCAGCATTCTGATTAGCTATTGAATCGTACACCATTCATGGTCGCATCGAGAAACATTTTTCTTTTTATTTGCCCTATAGTTTGGCTGATACTAAAACAATTAGACCATGCACTTTGTCCCGTGAACTACGAGTTCTGAGTACGGCATTTATGGACTATCAACTTGTAGTCCACTCGATCTCGTGGTCTTATTGTTAAATATATTCATTTATATTGTTAAAAAATACATAGCAACAACTCTACTGATAATAGAAATGTTTGTCATCGTAACAATGAATATTAATTGCATCAAATCATTTCAAGATTTCTTTGGGTGAAGTTTCTCATTTGAATTTTTATGAATTGTTTTATGAGCTTCCTGAGTACTTGGTTTCGTAGTTTTCTTGTGGAGCATCTTACTAGCCAGTTTGTGCGTTAATAAGCCATGTTGAGGAATACTACATGATAAGAAAAACAGATCAGCATTCCATATATTTTATATGCACTCTCTTCTTCCCCTCGCTAAATATGATTGAAAATCAATCGCCCTTCGAAATAACGTTTATCATATATTTTCTATATATTTTTTTTCTATATATTTTGAAGGCCGAGAAATACGACGGCATAAAACCTCAACTTGTCATGCAACATTTTTGTTTCGCGACAAGTTGACACTGCTTAGGAAAGTGTAAAATGAGGGAGAGGCGCTCCTCGCATCGAATCGAGGGGCGTGGATGATCGCCATTATATCTTTTAATAAGGATCTGGCATCCTTTAGGGTATGTTTTAAAATTTCAGTACGTTACTAAATGTTACATTAACTTGTCAAGCCTCAAGTAAAAGGAGTGCGCACGAATAAATGACGTCTTTTAAAACAAACTTACTTGTTTCTTCTATAAGCGTTCCAGCTTGGTGAATAGAATGTCTGTCGAGAAGATGTTCGAGAGTATGTTCGGCGATACAAAGATGGCTGAAATAAACATCGACGAGATCAAAAATATACCCTACTAGCAAGAAGGATAATACGTGTATCAAGGAATGAATGATGGGGTGGTTAAAGCGGTTCTGGAACCGGCCACCTCACCCCCAATAGGTTATAGCAACACACTTTCCGACAGTTTGTTCTGTGTGAATCATATTCACCTACAATTTTGCAGTCAATTGCCTTCTTATAGTCTTGAAACTGCAAAACAAAGCTCAAGTGCAAATGCAAAGAACCACCGATGGCTATTGATGAAAATTCAACCGACATTTTTTTATAGACCGATTCGAAAAACTACAAAACTACATACGGTAACAGAAACCTTTACCTTCAAGTCAATGGGTCCTGCCCCTGACGTCACCCAGTTCGGAGGTAAGGTTTTATATGGAGTTCTAAGGTACGGTACACCATGTTGCTGCGGTATAACTGACACAGGGTTATCATAAGTTGTAGCACCCTGCAATGTAATGTAAAATGGAGGCGGAGGTTGTGTTGGTGCCGGACCTTGCAGCACTGATGGAGCTGGTGGAGGAGCTGTGCCGGTTGGTTTGTTTACAACATTATTTGCAGGAGCCATGGGAGGAGGCTTGGGTACTCCACGTGCCCCCGTGAGGTTGATCACACCCTGGGAAGAAGTCTCGGCTGGTTTTGGCTTATTATTTTCTGCGGCATTCTGGGCAGGTTTGGGTTTAGTAAGTTGAAGTAACGGAACGATTGCAAACAGTTTGGGTGCGCATGGCGTGAATGGGACTCTGATAGCTGTCATATTTGTACATGTCTTGTTAGCATTCTTTGTTGTGTTTTTCTTGTGACTATTGACAAATTTCTCCAGCGCCAGAAGCCTTTGTATTAACGATTTTAGTTGTTCATTTTCACACTATCGATATATGAAAAAAAGATGAGTTGTAAGTGAAAACATAAGACGCTCGATTTAAAATTTCTTGAAATTCATGAGTAGAAATGCTTCATAAAGGGTTGGAAACTTTCAGCCGGTATGAAATGCCGAAATGCACGTTCATATTTCACGGTGGGAATGCTCACAAGGCTTCATGGGATTTCATGTTGGGTATGGAAAAAAACTTCAAGGGAGTAAAGGAGTTATATCTGATAAATAGTTTAACTTAATTAAAATGTCCTTGCAAGAAAAAAAAAGTGATGCACGACTTCTGTATTTTATCATGTTGGAAAAATTCATAAATTACAGGCTCAATCACAATTTTTTTATAATTTAGGCATGTAAAACAGTAAAAACTTATGCCACTTTCCCCAAATTTCTTTGATTTTCGTGTCAAATTTTATTTTCCAAACTGTTATCATGCAAGTGATAGAAGAATGAATTCGTGTGTTTGGCGATTCTCGATCAAGCCTTAACATTGACCATTAGTGCTACCCTTACGATTACATCTACGTAGTGTTACCTCTGTTCGACGACAAACTCCTGGTGGCCCCTTGTTACCCTAGAATAGATAATATCAAGTAAGATGTCAGGATGGCCGAGCGGTCTAAGGCGCTGCGTTCAGGTCGCAGTCCACTCTAGTGGGCGTGGGTTCGAATCCCACTTCTGACAATCATTTTTGTACATGCATTTTAAATTCTAGTGTACATATACTGCCATCTTTTTATCAGTAATCCCGTGTCAACTCAGGCTTTTTGTCATGATGAAAGARTGCTAATATTTTATGATTTACTCCAAATTGCACTGTGACCGGGGGAGGAACATTCCGTCATTGAGTGGACGGGATCTAAGAGTCCTTAGTTTCATAATCCATTCAAACAAAAAAAAAGATTCATTTATTTTTACCCGAAAACAATTTCGTCACAAGAGACTATTCCCAGAATATGGGTAACGAGATTGACCCGAAAATATCTCGTTCTCATGCGCGCTGCGCGACATTATTCATGGAAAGCTTCCGCAGTCTACTCGGGATTGAAGATGATAGCTATAATAGTTATTTTATATATTAATAATTATTTTACCACTTCTCCTGGAGGTCCTGGTGGTCCTTGGAGGCCAACATCTCCCTAGAACGCATAACAGTAGGTAAAAGGCCAATTTGATAAGATTAAGAGCTTTGTCCAGATTGTTTTGAACTATACATAATKGATTTCTATGTATGCGTGTATCAGACAAAATATTTGGTTACCTGTGGTCCAGGAATGCCCGCTTTTCCATCAAGGCCCTTCATCACCACAGTCATCATGTCCTGGAATTTGAAGTAGATTGAGTAGTTAACTTGAGTCGTGAGTTAAGCGACATTTCTCCTGACGAGGAAAACTCTGAAGACTGCTAATATTTGGCATTCAGACCCGAATGTTTTAGAGTCTAATCACTTCTTAATTGGACATTATTGAGTCTTATCTTAACTGTACCGAGTAAGAAAATAATTATTAGATAGGGTGACTATTAATAAGTGATATATATTTAATGAAATAACTGTATACAGCTGTTTGCAATAATTCTGACCCCCTCTGCCATATTTCATATATATCAAACTGACCTTTAATATTATGGGATATCATGACTGATATATTTTTTGAGTTGTCCAGAATGAGTACTTTCTAAAAKAAATATCAGCATTGGTATCCCATAATTTCTAAGGCTACTTTGATATATATGAATATTASTGTAGGGGGGTCAGAATTATTGCAAACAGCTGTACGTATAAAAGATATGCATATACAATAAAAGATCACTAACCGGACGCATCTGTGGATGAGCACTAATGTCAAATTTCTTGGCCAGATTATGATCCAATATAGTGCTCTTTTTATAGTGATGGTTAAGGTTTGGGATGATATTTTTCTTCAGCTTACTCTGCGATGCATGCACATTCYCATGATGCTCTATATTTTTAGATTGCGTCTGATGATGGTGAAATGCATGATGGTCGATTTTATGACGAAGTTTGCGATGCTTTTTATAGTGTTTTGTTGCTGATGTGTTTATTAGTAGGCATGCGCACAGCAGTACCGCTGACACCAAAGCTGACTTCATGACATTCATATGGTCTACAAAAAAWTCAAAAAAATCTCGGTCAAAATTGCAACACTCCATTTGGATGTGGAGGCAGATCCAGACAATTTGAATAACCTGGGGGCACAGGTATACATTTTGTGTTGGTCTGTCTGTCTGCTTAAATGTTATGCAGGTCATATTATGTATTTCTACATGTATTTAAGCAGGACTTTCCAAAGAGGGGAAGGGAGAGACACGGCGCACCTAACACCTTGAATCCGCCCCTGCATCGGATGTAATATTGAAATACTTGAATAAAGACATAACTTTCATTTCTTATTTCTTATCTTCTATACCGTGACAAGTTTCAAARGGTGATGACTAAAAGCATTATTTTAAAACCGTCAGATCTGAACGTGCTAAAAGAAGTAGCTTCTAGACCTCTGTTTGACAAACTTAAGTGTTATCACGATTATCATTTTGATCATTCCACCGCACTGCTGAACGACTATCGCCGATAGTCCGTTTTTACTCAGATCAAGACTAAATGCGAAAGTGAATAAAATAAGAGTGACCGAAGCGAAAATATTAAGGTGGCTGTAAACACCACGATTACCATAGCAACGGACTACCTGTCTAACACCACCTGTTGATCGTTCTGGTGGAAAAAGTGAATTGCTGTCAACAAAGTTATTAAATTAAAAAATATCTTAATAAGCTGCTATGCTGTGTCCTCTTATTAAATTAACACGTATAGATTATTAAATAGCTTCGTTAAGGCAAACTAATATTGTACCGGAGTCAGTTTCGGAACTTCCTTACGTACAGTCTAGTCATGAAATACTTTTTAACACTTATTGATTTGTCTAGTGTGTAATCCTCGGTAATACACTTTTGTACCACTGTTCGGCCAGCGGTGATATCTAACACTAATAATACCAATAAAAGAGGAAATTCATCTCGTCATTCGCATGAAAATTCCGTAATTTGTTCTCTAATACTACGGGTAGTTCTCCAGGCTTTACAAAAACTGCCTGTTTGTTTTCATTTACACTACAACACTTGCTCAATTGAGAAAAACACAGATCACCAAACTTAAAGTTTTTTTCTAATATTTATTACACATWTCTGCACGACAAAGGAAGTATCATTTTAAAATAGCTTCTATTAAACTATGAAAAGAACTGAGCAACGCCATCTTTTGACTTTCAGATCTCAGTATAAGACTGTATATTTATAGACTCATGATGGTACCGTGTAATAAAATATTTCAGTACATTACTGACAAAATACGATTTGCACGGACTACATATTACCGTCACTAAAGATAAGATTAAGGCGAAAATGAATATAGTTCCCGAGTTTTTTATTAGTTTTTTCGAATCAAATTGGCTTGTTTTCCATTGTTCTTATCTGACACGCAAGAAATGACCTGATGGTCGATTGTGACAGAACATTGATGAATCCAGTCCCTGAGAGTCGAAGATTGAGAGAAAAATGACATAAATAATATTTCTACATACCATGTGTCCTAGGAAGAACTTCTGGAATTCAATACGARGTCAGAATTCTTGATTTTCTCTCTATATTTCACGAACAATTTCCTGGGTTGCGATATTGTTTACATCGAAACGAATGATGTTACGAAAAAATATCGCTCACGTGACCTAGCAAGGCACTTTCCAGATCATCTCCAGAAATACTGAAGATATTTCCTTCGCACAAATTTCACATTTCTTGCATCTTAAAATCTTTTGAGCTTAACATATCTTTAGAAAAAGGTATTTCACAGTTWAAAAAAGAAACTTTTTCAGTCGCAAATTTCATTAATTATTACCAGCCGTGGTTTATTATCAGTTTTCATTCCTTGGTGAATAAAATTCTGTTCGTTTACAAATATGCCTTTTAAAGTGTACACAAMGCGTTTTTATGTGTATAAYCTTTTGTGCAAAGCAGTACAGGGCTTCTATAACTTTTTCCCTAAAAAATTGTCAATAYTGGTCGCGCGGYKGGCGAGGACTGGATCGACAACCTTCTTCCCATAACACCTTTCGAGAATCAGCCTTCTTTACGGCCATCTTGAATTTGAAGCAACGTCCATAGATTAGTTGACAATGGCGTCCTTATTGCTTCGAAGCATTCGTTCAAGTGCTGTTAGACCTGTTCTTAGACTTGTAAATTCAAGAACTACTCCAGCCTTGCTTTTTAGAGGGATGGCAGATGGASAAGGTAAGAAATAAAACATTTTATATTCAACTTAGCACAAACGTGTTCAGTGACTTCGCCGGTTCAAACCCGGCATCAAGCATGCTGATCGATCTAAAAATTATCTTGTGCATTTAAAACAGTTTTTTATATGTCACTTAGCTCTAAGTTTTATAATCACTTCATGATGTGTTTCTACTGTCTTTTTCATTGTTATCGAGCTGTACAACACAAACGTATCTTTATATTTTTCTGCACATGACTCTTTGCACGTACAGTACGTTATGTAAGCTTCCCTTTAGCTAGAGAATTTTGATGGAATATTCTAATAAAACGTATTCTGTAAATTCTAAAATGAAAAAAATGAGATGCACTTGAATGTACATGTGCAAGATCTTTCTTTAAATACCACTAAAAGACATCATGAAGATGCTTGAACTTACGCATGTTATTACTGCCAGCTTGAAATGTATAATGCATCAGTCAATGTAAACCTCTGCACGACCCTGGCCGGGACATAGTGGGGCATTTGACTTGAAGCGTATTCAAAAGTTATTTAATGCCCTGCATACGGGGGTGTTTTTTTTGTTCTAATTGCAAAAAATGGCCCCCGGGGGCCGACCAGGCTAAATTCACTACTCCTTTGCAAATCAACAAACAGTGAAGTGAAGCTAATATAAAATTATTCCACTCGATCAATCAGTTTTATTCATCAATCTTTATATAGAGATAACCTTATAGTGAGAAATCTATGTAAAATGTTTGATTGCCTAAGTAGATCCCCGTACAATAATTACATTAGCTAAACGTAGTTAGCATATTACGAGCCTCTGCCATTTTGCGAGTAGAGAAGGCCCTGCATAATGCCGGGTATAATAATTGTTGCATTTGGTCTTTGTGACTACCTAATGATCAAGGCTTTTTTTTGTAAGAATAATCAGCTTCCAGTCTCCAGTCAGATTGCACTTGACTCAAACTTGATTATTTAGGTATATTATCTAAATGGTTATTGTTAAAACAAAGGCCATATTTRGTGTATCTAACTCCAATATTTAACACAGGAAAACCAAGTATTGCAACTCCTGAAGAAATGGCAACTGGTCTTGAAAAACTTGAATATGATGCTGTACTAGCTGGAGATGAAGTAAGTGTAGTAATAGAATAAGATACAAAATTGCACAGTGTTCAGACTTTGATCAGTACTCTGTGATCCACTGTCAAAGTGAGTGCCAAAATAATCAAAGTAGTTTTATTTCATAACATTTTGACCTTYTGCAAAGGCATGGATCATGGTATAAACAGCACCACGGACCCTCTACATATTGTAGTGACACTGCTTTGTTTTCACATATGGAAGTGTGATTTAAACTGTATTGCTATACCATTTTACCACATAAAAAGCATGCAACTTSATCATCAAATATGTTGATATATTAATATAAGTAATCAATTTGTTTAAAATCATTCGTGCA